AGGCTGGGAAGTTCAAGATCAAGGCACTAGAAGATTCAGTGTCTGGTGATAGCTCCTCTCTGCTTCAAAGATTTTGCCTTCCAGCTGCGCCCTCACATGGTGGAAGGGGCTGGTAAGCTCCTTTAGGCCCTTTTTTATAAGGGTACTCTTCCTATATATGAGGGCTCCACCCTCATGACCTAATCATCTCTTAAAGGCCCTATCTCTCTTTTTTTTTTTTTTTTTGAGACGGAGTTTCACTCGTTACTCAGGCTGGAGTCCAATGGCACGATCTCGGCTCACCGCAACCTCCGCCTCCTGGGTTCAGGCAATTCTCCTGCCTCAGCCTCCTGAGTAGCTGGGATTATAGGCACGCACCACCATGCCCAGCTAATTTTTTGTATTTTTAGTAGAGACGGGGTTTCGCCATGTTGACCAGGATGGTCTCGATCTCTCGACCTCGTGATCCACCCTCCTCGGCCTCCCAAAGTGCTGGGATTACAGGCTTGAGCCACCGCGCCCGGCCTAGGCCCTATCTCTTAATACCAACACATTAGGAATTAGAGTTCAACATAAAAGTTTTGGGAGGACACAAACATTCAGACCATACCACTGGGTTTCTAGGATACCACAGTCTCCTGGCTTTCCTTCTGCCTCACTCACTGCATCTTCTCAGCCTATTCTGCTGGATGCTCCTCTTGCTGACCACTTCTCTTCTGTTCCCATTTATTCCCAGGTATTGCCATCTAGCTCTGTGGCATTAAATATCAATCTATAGGCCACTTAGTTCCCAATTTATAATTCCAGTTTCAATCTCTCCCCTAAATTCCGTTAACTTTGGTGTCTAAAAAGCATCTCATGCTTACCATGTCCAAAACAGAACACTCAGTTTCCACCCTGTGACTGCTAGCTGCCCTCCAGTAACCATCCTCTCATTCTATTGTAATACACATGATTTTACTGGGCACATAGCCACTCATAATAAAGCCCACGCCGACAGTGTCACTTTCAGTCTCTTTTGTAGCTGAGTTTCTGGTCAATGAGATGTGATCAGAAGTATGAGGTAGCAGCTGCTAGAAAAACTTTTAACATACTGAAAATATACATCTTTTTCCTCCTCTTTGCCTTTCTTCCATCCTGCTACCTAGAATACAGATGTGATAGTTGGAACTTTCACGTCCATCTTGGGTGATGAGAATGGAGGACAACATCCTAGAAACGGGAGTGGTGATTCGGAAAGGTTTCTGAAGGTATGGAGTTGTCATACCTGCTCTGGACTGCCCACCTTCAGGCTTCCTTTATATGATAAAGGAATACAGATGTTCTTCAATTTATGATAGGGGTATGTACCAGTAAACCCATTGAAAGTTGAAAATATTTTAAGTCAGAAATGCATTTAATACACTTAACCTACTGAACATCACAGCTTAGCCTAGCCTACCTTTAATGTCCTCAGGGCCAGGCACAGTGGCTTACACCTATAATCCCAGCACTTTGGGAGGCCAAGATGGGAGGGTTTCTTGAGCCCAGGCATTCAAGACCAACCCTACAGTTGGGCTAAACTATTTGGCAACACATCACACGGTAGAGTAGAGCCATTGTTTACCCTTGTGATCTGGGAGTTGTGGTTTTCTGCTGCTGCCCAGCATTGTGAGAGAGCATCGTAATGCATATTGCTAGCCTGGAAGAAGATGAAAATTCAACATTCAAAGATTTCTACTAAATGCTTATCACTTTAGCACCAGCAGAAAGTCAAAAAATTGTGAGTTTGAATGGTTTAATTCAGGGAATCTCTGTAAACTACCTTGTTCAAGCCACTATTACTATGCTTCAAAGCTGAATCTAACCCTAACTAATACAGTCATCTCTAACAGAGAACAATCCTCTTTTCACATACCAGGCAACTGAAAATATAAAAGTAGTAGAAAAGATGATCTGTTTTTATACTCCTTTGCTCAACAGATAACTTTTCTAGAATATAATTGTACTAATGATTTATACTCTCATTTTCTCAGGTTTTAAATGAATTATAATAAAAATCCATTTATGCTATTTAGATTATACTCCTCTCTAAATGGATTTGTCCTCATCTGACATTTTGTGCTGGTTTAAGCACTTTCAAAGACAGGCCTAAAACCAAATACAACCTTCTCAATATTTGAGATCATATCCAAATTTGAATTTTTCTCAGGCTATAATATCTAGAATTTTTTAAGTTTAAAAAGTAATGTTTATTCCGTATGTGATACAAGCTCCATAAGTATTTGTGAATGAATGAGTAAATTAATAGTATACTATCACCTAATTATTTAACTATATAAAATTACCCTGGTGATTTAAAAACGTGTTCCCCAATTTTTTTGGATATACTTCTCACTAAAGGTAAGTCCATTTGTGCTGCTGTAACAAAATATCTTAGACTGGGTAATAAATAAAGAAACGTATTTCCCACAGTTCTGAAGGTGTGGCTGTCCAAAATCAAAGTGCTGGCAGGTTCAATGTCTGATAATGGCCTGATCTCTTCTTTCAAGATGGCACCTTGTACACTGTTTCCTTCAGAGGGTGCTAATTCTATGTCCTCATGGCAAAAGAGATGAAAGGAATCGAAGGAACAGACTTATCCCTTCAAGCTCTTTTTATAAGTGGCTAATCCCATCCATAAGGGCTGCCCCTCATGACTTAATCACCCCCTAAATGCCTTACCTCTTAATCCTATCACACTGGCAATTAAATTTCAACATATGAAATTTGGAGGATACATTCACATCAGAGTAGGTGGGATTTAATTTCCCTCCCCTTGTATATGGGGAGCCTTAGTGACTGACTCGGAACTGACAGAATGTGGTAGAGGTGACACTGAATGTGTTCCAAGACTAGTTTAGAGCAGGCAGTACAGCTTCTGCCTGGCTCTGTTGGACATGCCTTTGGATCCCTGTGACAACACACACATAAGAAGTCTGGCTCCTCTGAAGCGGCCATGCTGGAGAGGCCATGCAGGGGTGGAGGGAGAGGACTGAGGAGCCTGAGCTCTTGCAGATCCCAGCTGACTGAGTTTTCCCAGCATCACCTGCCGGACTTGTAAGTGATTCCAGTTATTCCAGTCCTCAGCCTCAGAGCTGCTCTTGGCAAGTAGGGCCGAGATGAGCTTTCCCTGCTGAGCCCAGACCAAACTGCAGACTTGTAAGTAGGATAAACAGTGTTTGATACTTCTAGATGTGAGGATAATTTGAAGAGCACCCATAGTAATGGGAATATTCCCTAATCAGCATATTGACTCTATATGCTGCTTCCTGGATTGTCTTGGAGAACATTCTGACCCTTTTGCTCATTCCCTTTGGGCTAATTCCCTCTGTGGAAAAGGGGCGTTCTTGCACTTGCCTACCACTCCTGTGTCCACAGTTGAGAGAGGGCTTTGTTCCTTTCCCTTTGTTCCCTTTCCTCTATCCAGGGAAAATACCAGACCTGTTGCCTTCCAAAATGGAAACAAAATCACCTGTTTCAAAGCAAACTGCCTTAAGATGCAGTTTGTAAAGATAAGATACAATTAAGTGATAGGCTTTCCCTTTTCTTTACCCTAGAAAACGAAACAGACTCAATGGAATGCGTTTCAGCATAATGGAGATGATCAAGGAGTAGCCTCTGTTATAGGAACAAAGCAACTAAAAAGAAAATTATAGCCTCATTAACCTGTCTAAGGTAGTGATTTTTTAAGTGAAAAGCAGTGGGTGTGTAGTTTTTTTAAAAGGTGGGCCACATTACCATTTCTTCAGTGCTTCCTGTAGAGGAGGGTACTATCATTACATATATTCTCTAGGCCAAGGTTCACCCAGGCTAGAGAAAGAACAATCTAATGTAATTCTGTCTCATTAGTGCACTTCCTTCAAAAGGAAAATTATTTTATAAATGGTGGATAGGTTTGCCAAATACAGAGCCTAGAGCCTACTACTATAAATGATGCATGGTATTCTGGTTTATAAATTGATCTCCTATGAAATAATGTGTTTCTTTCCCTAAACTTGATCATGCCACAGAAGGTTATTAGGATCAGTTTCTAAGCCACTGAAGAGCTTTGGCAACTCCACCGATACAACAGTGCCTTAAAGGAGTCTACAGGAAAATGCTAACTAGTTTTTTTCTTTCTGTGATGTAAATTTAGCATAGCAAGAAATAGTGTGTAATTAGAAGAGGTCCCCAGAGGTTGAGGCCTTATCTGGATGATTGCCAAGTCTGAACAGCACTTTCTAGACCCTATCTCAGGGAGTCCAGTTTCTTTACAGCAGGGCTTTAGTTTCATGGTTGTAACTTCTGCAACCCCAGACTTTTTATTCTACTCAAAGGCAAATGTATCAGTCTTGTAAGTTTGGGTTTGTATCCCAAGATAGAGCCACCCCATCATCTTAAAGTCATTTGGAAAACTAAAGAATGACAGCTATCAACTGTGTAAGTAGCTTTCAATTCAAAAGAGGGAGGTGTAATATAATTAAGTTAAATTACATTTTGATTCTGGTTGCTGATATTATTTGATCACTTCATTAATGGTGCCAGCAAAACTGAGCACACCTTAGAGTCTAATTACATGTCCCTCAACCTCTTCCACGACATATTTCTCTCCTCTCCCTTTCAACCTCGCATCCTTCTTTCTTCTCTTTTGTCACTGCCCACCAGAGAGGCAACTTGGTTATATTGATGATATCCTCTTATTTGTCAAAAATTCACCAAGCAGTTAATAACTTAGATTTATTTATGAAAAGTACAGCAGATTGAAGTCAACCAACAGGCCCACACTATTTAAATTTTTTGTCACTAGGGTGACAATTCTACACCCAATTTTAGTTTTCAAAATCCAAAGAAACATCTTCATTGGGATTTAGCAATGACTTTGTTTTACAACCTACAGAAATTATTAGGAAGATACATATTTTTCCCTCACCTTCTATTTTGTTTTCTATTTTTGTAGGAAAAAAAGAAATCAGCTGTCATAGTTTTATGAGTACAAAAAGGAAAACATTTTTTATGCTCACCTCTGTCTACATAAGACTGAAATTTGTGAGCATTTAACACATTTGTACTGAAAAAATATTGAAAATATTGTAATATAAAAGTACCATTTTCAGGCAACCACCTACAAACTGAAACATTACTAAGGCATTCTTATGTGCCATCATGAGCCTGCCTATGAACTGAGTCATGTATGAGAATCTAAAAAAAAAAAAAAAAAAAAAATTCTAGGAGTTTCAAAAGATAACCCTTTCCATAATGATGAGACACATCCATAAACAGGGGCTTCACTGTTTTTGATTCTTATCCAGTATTTCATGGCATTCTGAGAGCCCTCATCTTCAGGGTCAGCTACTTGAAGTGCAATATGCTCAGCATAGCCAGTCTCTAATACTCAGCGAACAGTCCTCTTTCCATTAAAATGTAATTTTTGCTTCTGCTTTTCCATCTAGCACATATGTTCTAGTGGTCTTTGTGTCGTTGGCCTCCTTCCATCCCCACTTAACTCTATTCTTTCAATTCAATTGTACACAAATCAAACCAGGGTCGTCAGGGCGACGCATTACGAATTTCGCTTTGAGGCCGTGCGCACCCCTCTCTGCGCAGAGGTCTGAGCCAGTAGGTGCCCGGCCGACATCACCCCACGATCGATGCCACCTGAAGCTGCCCAGGCGAGGCTGTGGCTGCCTGGCTTAGTCCCAGAGTCCATGGCCATGGAGACTGCTGCCCTGACATGATTTTTGTGACCATAGAGGCGTCCCCAAACTTTTTACACAGGGGGTCAGTTCACTGTCTCTCAGACCGTTGGAGGGCCGCCACATACTGTGCTCCTCTCACTGACCACCAAAGAAAGAGGTGCCCCTTCCTGCAGTGCGGCGGGGGGGGGGGGGGGGGGACCGGATAAATGGCCTCAGGGGGCTGCATGCCGCCCGCGGGCTTAGTTTGGGGACGCCTGCCATAGAACGTTGCATGCCTCCCTTTAAGGGAAAAGGTATCTAGGGAAGTCGGCTGGAAAGCAAAACTCCTTAAATAAATCTCTTTCCACCCCCACTATTCCTATTATAAAATCAAAGAAACAGTATCAGCAAGGGGGGGCAAAACACAGCTTTTTACGTCTGCGCCTCACTTTGTTCCCAGCAGGATTGAAAGTGATTTTTAAGGATATGTAAAACAAGAGAGTGGACATTTAAAAGTGAAACGGGATAAAAACAAGGGTGGGGACATAAAATAGAGCCAGGAACAAGGCTTAAGTGATGTCTAAAATAATGACCTCTGCTATGAGTGGGCCACAGTTTGGCACTAAATTATCTAGCAGTTCTCTATCCGCTAATGGCATCCCCCGACCCCAACTCAATTTGTCTATGAGCATTTCTGGGGGGAGGCGGAGAGGTCAGGGTGAGGGTGAAAATGTAGGCGTGTCCACCCAGCTCATATTTCATTTGGCTTCATGTAGGAGACAATTTTCACATAGCTGGAAGAGAGAACATCCTGGACTGTGCGTCCTTAAAGAAATCTTCCTCAAATATTGCTCTTCAGAGACAAAGGTGCTCGTAAATATTGGAAGGCATTGAATTCAAAATCTAGGCAGGCTTGCCTTGCCGGGAACAGAAACCTTAAAGATGTACACAGTTGCTTGCTCTCTTCTCCTTCATAGGCAGACAGCTCAAAAGACGATCTATTCTTGCTGTCTCGGATTCTTCACTTCCCCCTCACTCTAAAACCATGCAAATCGAGCTGCCACCCCCACCACTTCACTGAAGCTGAGCTTGCTGAGGTCCCCTAAGCACTTTTCAGTTATTTTACCTGGGTCCTGACGGCATTTGAACACTCACTGCTCTCTTTTTAAAATACCTCGTACCTTGGGTTCTCCTAACAGCACACGTTAGTGGCCATCATCTCCCTCTTATCTGCTCATTTCTTCTTCATGTCCTCTGTTGCCTTCTCCTTCTGCACCTGACCCTTGAGTGTTGGTGTTCCTTGGGATGCTGTTCCAGTGCTGAGAACCCTTTATTAGAAAAGATTCTCAAAAGTGTGGCCACCATACAGACCAGCAAAGAATCTTTCTAATTCTTCTGAATCCCAGAGTTGTAGGGAACCAGCCCCCACATCGCCTGTGGGCACCCCAAGTTCGGTGGTGAAAAAGGACTGAGAAAAAGACAGATTAAAAATAAAAGTGGGACCGAGGGCCATCACTTATTACCGGAGGCAGTGAAGGCTCTGAGCTCTGATCTCTCACACTATTTGTTGGTGACAATCACTTTGATCTTTAGGCTAGGGGTAGAGTGATGGTGGAGTGAATCAGTGAGCCGGAACTGGTGTGTCATTCTAAAGATTGATAACAGTGGCAGTTTGGGAGTTTCACAAAACAAGAACATGTGGTTGTCTTTAACCTATTGTCTATGTGAAGCTGGTAGAATTCAGTCCTTAGAAAAAGCCTACAACTCTGGTTACGTCTTAGTGCTACGAACGGGTTTTACGTCCTTGAGCACGATGTTTACGGTAACACAGCCTAGGTCACCCTGCACCAGAACATGAAGCATGGAGAGGCCTTCCTCCCCCTGTGGCATTCTGCAGTTTATTGTTCCTGATTTCTTTTATACATATAACCAGTTTATGTGCGCACACTGTAAACCCTTCCTCCATTGCCGCTTCCCCCAACACAGAGTGAAGAATTTGATGAAGCTCTAGTTAACTGAATAATGGCTGCAGCAGACACAGTATATCGACTCAGTTGGCCTCTATTCCAAACTCCCTCTGGGGTCTTTCAATGTACTGCAGATACTGGAGAGCTAGGAGCTATGTTTCCTGACTGCCTTGCACCAAGGGTTTCAAATGCGATGTAGTCATTATTAATCAGAGGTGCTCCTGTGAAATTTGAATTTAGAACCGAGTTCAGTGGAGGGAGAGGCAGGAGTGCCTGAGGCATCCATTTAGCTGGTGTGAGGACCTAGCCAATGTGGCTCCAGGGCCAAGAATTCTGGTGGTGCCTTCCTGATACCTGGACTGATAGTTAGGGTAGTATGTTCATAAATGCAATATTTTTAGTGGTAGCCTCCTGATTCTCCTAAAAGGCAAAAATTGTCCGAGGCTTGAAATTGGATCATAGAGATTGGGTGTGTCTTTCGGGAAAATTCTGGTAGAAACTTTAGGAATTTTCTAATTCTATAGGGGTGTACACTGGTGACCTTCTATTAACTACGCTATTTTACAACTTTGTAAGGTAAAAATTTATTTGCAGCAAACTATAGAAATACAAATAGTTCTGTTTTTTACTTTTTGGTTTTATTTGGATGTAGAAGATTTCATTTTTTTGCCCAGGCTGCTCTCATACTCCTGGGCTCAAGCAATCCTCCTGCCTTGGACTCCCCAAGTGCTGGAATTACCAGCATGACCAGCCACAAATAATTCTTTATCCATAGCAAAACAAATTTTTTTTTGGTAGATATAAAATTGATTTTTGCCCTCAAGGAAAGATAATCCCAAACATTATTTTTTATTGCCCTAAAGCTACATTGTCTAATATGAAAGCTACTAGTCATGTGGCTACTGAACTCTTATAATGTGGCAAGTTTGAATTGAGATGTCTTGTAAGTGTAAAATATATGCCAGATTTCAAAGACTTAATATGAAAAAGTATGTAAAAACTTCTCATTAATTTTATGTATTATTTATATTGATTACATCTTGAGATAATTCTATCTTGGATAGTGTGGATTAAATAAGATATATTATTAAAATTCATGTTAACTATTTTTACTTCTTAAAATGTGACTCTTTGAAAATTTGAATTACAGATGAGGCTTGCGTTATGGGTCTGTCAGACGGTCCTGTCCTATAGAATTTTAGCCAGTTTTGCCTCGATTAGCCAGTTGATTTCAACATTTCTGATTGTGTGTATCTCTGAAGACTCCTTTGAACTGTACTTAACATCTTACAGGTTCCCTCATTAATTAATGTATTAAATAAAATCTTTGTAACATGTCATTTTATACTTGCATGAGAATCACAGTTTTAACATTTATACTTTAGCAGTCAGTTCTCCTAATATCCTATATTAAATTCCATTCTAAAATAGCTAAGGTGGTTTTAGTTACCTATTACTGCACCCTGAGTATACCCTGACATTAGCTTAAAATTGAGCATTTACTATTTCTATATACTGTGTTAAACACTTTACACCGATTACTATTTAATCTTCAGAACAACTCTGTGAGGTAGGCAATACACTCCTTATTTTACAGATGAGGCACTGAGAGTTAACAAAACTTGTCTAAGATAACCAGGAAGTAGTAGCAGGACTCACACCTAAGCATACTGATTTTAAAGTTGACTTCTATCCATCACCACTGCCAGCACCTATTCTGTTCCACCAAAAACAGAATGAAGGGCATATCTGTCACTCTGTCGACCTAGAAGCTGCAGTGCGGCAGGGAAGTCACAGGTTATAGTCATCCCCTCACTTGTTCTGCCTTCTCTGCTCCCAGGCCCTTTGATTCAATTAGCTGGTTCTCAGAATCTTGGGCATAGCTCAAACCTGAGTGGCCCTTTCAGACTCTCACCCAACTCAGGAGGTTGAATGATGGGCCATTTTCCACTGCAAGCTGAGAAGCACCTCTGCCAAGACTAAAAGGTCTTACTGGTGGAGGTGCATTAGAAGTATGTGACTCTGAGGGTCACAGAGCTTGCTAGACAGGCTGTCTACCATCTTTGGCAAAGGCAGAGAGTAATTACACTGTAATAACAGTTATTAATGGCCAGATGTTGCATTAAGTGATTTACATACATTCTCTCTAATCCTTTCAGTAGCTCAATGGGGTATTAAAAATGAGGAATCTGGGTCTTAGGTTAATTATGGCTGCTCTAGGATGCCCTGGATAATCACTGAACTCACTAGTCATGGGCTATATATCTGACAAATATTTCAGACATTTAAACATTTGATAATAAAGGAGTCTATGGTATTATTTGCCCACATGTAACTGAATAAGGAAACTTGCTAAAGAAAGAATAGCAAAAAATTTATATATTATCCTTCCATTATTAATGCTGGTTTAAAAGCTTGAAATTGACAGGCAATTCAATATTTTCCAACATGCATCACATTAGCTTTTAATTCATTAGCTGTCTTTTTTCTACTGTTTCCTGTCTTGCTATGGTCTACATTTTATATTCGTGCTGCAGAGACATCTGAAAGGATTATGCCACCCCACTTTAGTCCCAGGAAATAGGAATGCAATGAATTATTGATAGTGTTAGCTTTCTAGTGCTTTAATTTCACCTCTGTTTCAGACAAGGGTATTAGTTAAATGGAATTTTTGTATCACTCGAGAGCTTACTACGTAAGAAACACTAACTGATTTGAATTATAGAAGAGACAGTCCTAGAAAAGATTTCCATTTCTACAGAGGATGGATTCTCCATACATTCCACTCCCCTATAGTTTTGCTTAGCGTTAGGTTAATAGGACAGTTTTCAAATGGAGTTCCTCAGAACCCTTGGGATTCCCCAGAGGTGCGGGTGCACATACACGAGCGCACACATACGCCCCCAGCCATTCCCTTGCTTCAGAAAAAAACTTCACTTGCCTACTGTAAGCAATAAACTTTTTTTGTGAGATTATATTGGAAGAAAGGATTCTTTTTAAAAAAGCTTGAGGCTGGGTGTGGTGGCTGACACCTGTAATTACAACTCTTGGGAGGCTGAGGTGGGAGAACT